TATAGATTAATATAAAACTGATGATCTGCTCTGTAAACCTTCACCCAATTCACAATTAAAAAAAAAAAAAAGATTTATAGTTTCAAAAACCCTAAGGAATTCTTCTATGTCCTATAACGTTACTATCAGTTGGAATTGGCTCAATGGCCATGTATTTGAGGTTGGAATTACAGTCATTTTTGTTAGCTGCCATCAAGTCAGCTCCCACCTCACAGCAACCCCATGTGTAGCAGAGTAGAACTGCTCAGTTAGGATCATAATTTACTATGCTGCATCTCTGGAAAAAGATTGACTAGGAAATTTTATTAAAAACGAAAACACTAAATCTAATGGACCACAGACATTATGAACTGAGGCTTTGCAGCACTTTTCTCATTGGAGAAATTGATAAACAATGGCAGGCAAATCACCTGGTACTCACTGTTAACAAGACTGAAATCAGCTGATTATTAGAGGATGTTCCTTGCCCCACCATACCAAGCAGAAAGAATGCAGGATTTAACAACAGTCTTTGAATCCTGGTTATTTCTTTTACTGTTTGTTGTTGTTGTTAAATGCTGTCAAGTCACTTCTGACTCACAGCAACCCCATATAGGGTTTCCGAGGAGCAACTGGTGAGTTTGAACCACCAACGCTATAGTTCAAATTGACCTTGTGGTCAAGTGCATTGTTCTGCAGCACTGATCCGTTATTAATAACATGACAGAATTTAGAAGAAAACTAAGAAAAGATTAGAAGATCCTACCTGTTCTGTTTTTCTAACTGATAAAGCAAAAAAAGCAGTTCTGAAAACATTAAGTAGGGAATCTGGAAAACCAAAGAGATAAGGTATTTGGAAATAGAAAGTATTTAACTGTAATATGGGAGTGTGATGGCTCTGTAGCATAAGCACTGGACTACGAATCACAAGGCCGGTGGTTTCAGCCCACCAGCTGTTCAGTAGAAGGATGAGGCTTTTTGCTCCCATAAAGATGCACGCAGAAACCCTATGCAGGGTCACTATGAGTTGGAACCAACTTGAAGACACTTAACAACAACCATAATATACCAATATGAAACAACAACCATAATACATTCATTTCTCTGTAGTATAAGTAATGGACTGAAAACTTACAAGATTGGCAGTTTGAGTCCACAAGCCACTCAAAGACGAGGCTTTCTGCTCTCACAAAGAATCAACTTGACGGCACTTAATAACAATTTATCAACATGAGGCACCAAAGATCTTTATTGCAATACGGCTGCTTTTCACAAATATTGTGAAAATACGGCTGAGTGAAAGTGTTATTAAGAGATATTATAAACTTGATGTTGTTGTTATGTGCCATGGAGTCGGTTCCAACTCACAGTGACCCTGCACAGGGTTTCTGAGGCTGTAAATCTTTACAGGAGCAGAAAGCCTCATCTTTCTCAGGCGGAATGGCTGGTAGTTTCTAACTGCTGACTGTGAGGTTAGCAGTCCGATTCATAATCACTACGCTACCAGAGCTCCTTTAAGAACTTGATGGAAGGTAGTACATCACCACACCCATTTTACAGATGAAGAAATTAAGTACCTGAGCATTAGATATGAAGTATTAATGATTAGGATTAGATGATTTGGACTAGAAAGCCCTAACTTTTTCTACTTTACTATAGTAACTCACAGATTTTCTTCAAGTCTACTAAATCTTCACGTGTCATCATTAAATATAATAGATCTATTTCTAAGGTGGAAGTCAACTAATAGCTCTCTTTTGTGACATTGTAAAATGTGTGCAGGGCAGTATCTTAGTTTCTTAGTGCTGTTGAAATAGAGACACTGCAAGTTGGTGGCTTTAAAGAACAAAAATTAATTTTCTCACAGTTTCAGAGGCCCTGAATCTGAATTCAGGGCACTGGTTTTAGAAGGTGGCTCTCCCTGTGGGCTCTGGGAAAAGATCACGGCATTGCATCCCTCGTGTCATTGTTGTTGTTAAGGGCCACTGAGTGAGTTCCGACTCATAGTGACTTGAGGAGAGGCTGGTAGGTTTGAACCAGTGATTTAAGATTTGGGCACACCCTACACTGATATGGGAAATCTTTTTCCTCTTTCAGTATTTCTTCCCTGCCCACTATGCACTGGAACTGATTCCAGTGTGATATTTAAGAGTTTATCTGACTCCATCCATCCATTCAATTACCCAGCCACCCATCTCCAATGGCTGCCAAGAAAGATTTAAGTCAACTCACTCTTCTACTTCGTTTGACTGGCCTTTCTAGGAGAGAAACTGCTCTGGGACATACATCTACAGTCTTTTAAAAGAAGCAGGTGTTTACGCATGTAGCACTTCTTGTTAAGTGCTCTCCATTCCAGCTCAAAGCTAAGGAGTGGCTGGTGAATTTGAACTGACGAGCTCGAAGTTAGCAGTACAGTACTTACCCTACGACACCACACCAGAACTCCATTTAGAACTTGGTAAGTTCCTTCAAGTTGGTTCCCACTCTGAGAGATCCTGTATAAGGTTTCTGAGGCTTTTAAATTGGCGTGGGAGCAGTAAACCTTGTAATTCTCCTGAGGAGCAGCTGGCTAGCTCGAACTGC